TCTCTGCATATAAGCTGCTACCAGAGGGTCGTTATTTCAAAACTGGAGCCAACTATTCCGGAGCTGAGCATGCTGCAATGATTCTGGTGCGTCTCGTCTGAACCCATTGTGCCCCACATGTAGCTCCACCACTGCTCGGAGACACTGGGATCCAAATTACTAATAGGTGCTCCTCAAGGGACCTCGCTGCCCCCCTTCCCTCCCCCAAACCCCTCTTGCCCTCTCCCCCACTCCCAGGTAATTCTCCTCATCATGGGTGATGGGCTACTCAAAGCACCCGTGAAGATGACCGTGCTGCGGTTTTTTGTGGGGTGGTACCACAAGTACTTCCGGGTGGACGAGTACACCGAGACTCTCCTTCAGCAATACATCGTGGACAGAAAAGAGTAAGTCTAAACTATGCGTAACTCGCCTTTCGATATATACAACCATCCTCTCTAATCCAGGATCAAAACCCATATGTTCACACCCCCGCCCCGCAGGTTAGTCCGTCTACTCGACACGAACTTCCGAAATGAATGGCGACGACTACTCGACATGAACTTCCGTCTATTTCGTCTCCAACTTCCGAAATTACGACGACGCCATCATGCGGACGTCAGAAATGAGATGCACGTTGCGGGACCTACCAAGCGTCTTCGATGATTTGCCGCACAAAATGGCTAATATCAAGGTACAACCCTTTGTTTGGATCTGCCCACGCAGCCCAAGCACCTTGCCACACGTGCCTGCTATTGCCCTTACCATCCATATCCCCATTTTGCGGTAGCTACACCCATCTCTGCAACCCACAGTGCCACTTCAGCATCGCTATTCTCTGTTGCTCCCCGACTCTACTTGTTTGGATCCCTCTGCCATATTTTACCCTGCACACACCATGGCCACCCTTGCATTCACCCTCCTATGCTTTCTTTTGCCAAAAATAGCCGCCACACACCCATACATTTTTCTTCAAATTCTGGGCCAGCCTTGCATTCACCCGCCCTTGCCTTATTCTGCCCATTTCAGTCCTACACAAACCCATTCAAGTTAATTTGAACATGGGCCTGCCAAGCATTCACCCTAGCCAATATTGTTTTTTCCCCGCCAGCTCGACACACAGCCACGAATGTTTTTTCCAACCTGAGCCAGCCTAGCATTCCACCTCTCTTGCTATGATTCAAAAACCCAATCCAACCCTGCACTCCCCTGCTCAAGCTCTTCTAGACCCGGGCCTGCTTTTGCATTCACCCCCCCTGCTTTATTATGCCCAAAACTGACCTGATCACACCCGACCAAGCTATTTCAATCCCGTACCTGCTGTGCATTCACCCTCCCGTATTGTATTTCACCCATATCAGACCTGCACCCACCCATTCGTCAAACTTTAAAATGGTTCTGCCTTGCTTTCACCATCCTCTGCTATATTTTGCCCTAACCAGCCCTGCACGCACCCGTTGATTTTTCTATACACCTGGGCCTGCCAATCATTCACCCTACCCTGATTTGTTTTTCCCCAAACCAACCCTGCACACGCCCATTTAATTCATTTTCAACCCAGGGCAGCATTGCACTCACCCCCTCTTGCTGTAATACTAAATCCGCTCCAACCCTGCTCCTACCCGCCCACGTTTTGCCTACACATACACCCCCCCCTCCTCCTTGGTTTATTGCGCCCAAAACTATCTTGCTCACACCCAACCAAGTAAGTTCAAACCTGGGCTTGCCTTTGCATACTCTCCCCCCGCCTTTCCTCTCCACTGAACCCTGACATGCTCACACTATCCCCCGTATCCCCAAACCTGTGCCTTCCTTTGCATTCACCCCCCTGCTTTAGTATGCTTAAACCAGGCCTGGTCACGCCCAGTCATGCTATTAGAAACTAGTGCCTGCCGTCATTCTCCATCCGCTGCTGTTTTTTTTGCCCAAATCAGACCTGCAGTCGCCATTCATCTCACTAAAAGAATGGGCCAGCTTTGCATCCACCCTCCCCTGCTGTATCTTGCCCAAACCATCTCTCCACGCACCCAATCAATTCACTGTAATCCCGAGCATGCCTTGCATTAATTCCCCCCTACTTTAATTTGCCCAAACCTGCATTCCATACGCCCATTCAGGGTATTTTCAACCCGGGCCAGCCCTGCATTCACCCACTCTTCCTTTAATCTCGGGCAGGCTTTGCAAAGTTTGCATCACCCCCCCTCCCCCACCACGCCCCCCCTCCTTCATTTTGCCCGATTTTCCATCACTGCAGCTTATTGTCCACAGGTGGTTGCTCTTCCCAGCAGTGCTCCACCACACTCGACAACCGAAACTTGTCAAAACCCCCAATGCATTCACCCTCCCTTGTTTGTAATTCCACCACTTCCTCCTACACCCAGCCCTCTGTTAAAGTAAGAACTGAATGATTGACTAGAAGTGGAAACCTAGAACAAATACTAGTTGGTTGTACTCACTAGAAGCATACCTCAGTCTAGCCTAAAACTTCTACATAGCTAATATGTATGAGTTGACACACCCCCTAGGCTAGACAAGGGGTGAAGCTAAGCAAGAAGCAAACAGCTCAGGGTGGCACTACTAGTCCAACCACTGAGGCAGGGGTCTGGAGACCAGTCAGCAAGAATACAAACAAAACTAAAGCAAGCCAGGGCGGCACAACTAGTCCAGCCACTGGAGGTAAAGCCACAAGGCCAGTCTGATAGGCATATATAATAGCGAGTACACAATCAGAATCCTAACAGGTGAGTAGCTACAGGAACAAGACCAAGCTGTACACAGTGCCGCTGATGATCTTTATGCGCAAGCGCCTTAGTAAAGATATCAGCTGTGTTGGCACCTGAGGCCAAGTGAACTACGTGGGCCTGGCAGCGCTGCTGTAGCTCGCGCAGGAGGAAGTACTGCAGCTGGATATGCTTCGCTCTGCCCTCAAGCCGAGGCTCCTGACACAGGAGTATCATGGCCCTGTTGTCAGCGTACAGGACCGGGGCAGAGCTAGGCCGCTCACCTAAGTCCGTGAATAAGAAGGTCAGCCAGCGGAGCTCCTGTGCCGCCATGGCACCAGCGTAGATCTCAGCCTCACAGCTAGACTGAGCCACAAAAGACGAGCGAGTGGATCTCCAAGAGATAGAACCCGAACCAAGGCTAAAACAGTAGCCATGCGACGACCTGAGCGTCTCAGAGTCGTCTGCCCAAGAAGCGTCTGTGTGCCCAGTAAGGACCACTGGCCTGCGTACTCCTAGCACTAACCCCATGCCCGATGTACTAGCAAGATAACGCAAAACCCTCTTAGCGGCAGACCCGTGCTGAGGTTGGTGTCTGCCTGTAGCCACAAAGCAAGCCAGGATGCTGAGAGGGTATTCGAGATCTGGGCGAGTGCAAGTCATCACGTACATGAGGCAACCCACCAGCTTTGCGTAGGGGCCACTGGGCTCTACTGGCTCCTCAGGAACGGGAGCGGAGAGCCCATGGTCTACAGGTAGAGGTGTGGGCTGTGCGGAGGAGAACTGAAGACCGAACCTCTGAAGGACTCGACGCACCAGGTGTGACTGTGTCAGAGTGATGGTGCATGCTGCTCTGTCCCTAGAGATCTGCAGGCCAAGATAGCGACGCAGCTCTCCAAGGTCAGTGCAGGTGTGTCTCTTCAGAAGCTCTGCCTTCACAGAGGCCAGTGTGTCCCTGTCAGCAGTAGCGAAGACCAGATCGTCTACATAGACAAGGATGTAGAACGGAGTCTGGCCGGAACGCCCAAACAGTGAGGAGTCAGCAGAGGACGGAAAGACTTGCAAATCTGCTCACGTGGCCCGCAGCGTGTCGTGCCACTCGCGAGGAGCCTGACGGAGGCCGTAGACCGGGCGCCTGAGAAGCCACTGGGTCCAGGGGGGAAGGTACCAGTGAAGCCCTGTGGTCGGCGCAGGTAGACCTGCTCGTGTAGGCTGCCCTGAAGAAAGGCAGTAGAGAAGTCGAGGGAGTGAAGCTCGTAGTCGCGCTGTGCTGCTACGTGTAACAGCGCCCGAAGAGTGGTCATCTTCGGGGTCGGGGCGAAGGTTTGGAAGAAGTCAACCCCCTCTCGCTGATTGAAACCTCTGGCCACGTAGCGCGCCTTGAAGACAGGCGGCTCTACAGGGGGGCGCTTCACCTTGAAGAGCCACCGACCATCGACTACGTTCACCCCAGGCGGGGGAACTGCGTCGACGTAAGTGCCGGTGGACCTCCAAGATGCCATCTCCTGCTCCATGATAGCTATCCACTGAGAGGCCCAAGGTCCCGAGGTGGCCTCAGCGTAGGTGCGAGGGGTCGGGATGTCGAAGGCGTATGGGTCACCCTCAGGGACTAACAGCATGGAGCAGAGATGGGGAGCAGCCTCGGAAAGGAAAGCAAGCTCGTACTGCCTGTCCTCTAGTACGTCACTGCCAAGGGCAGGAGCACCCCCGACGGACGGAGGACGGGCATGTTGTGTGATGTCATCATATGCTATCACATTCTGTCTGCCTCCCATCCCATGTTTTCAACTTGCATGTGTGGTTTGAATGTGCAAGCATTTGTGTGGTGTGTGTTCTGGAGTTTGGGAATGTGTTATGTGTTATTTTGTTTGAGCAGGTATTTGTGATGATAGATCTTGAGAAGATCTTTCCGACGCAACAAGAATCTCTTCAATTGGAGCAACAACGCGAAAGCTATGAAGATTCAAAGTTCATGAGCTTGCGTTACAATTGCGGCGGTTACTAAGTGAAGTTGTGGGGTGACTTTATATGGAGTTGGGACCTTTGGGGTTGGGGAAACTTGTCACTCTACTGTAACAGCTGCAAATAGGTTGGGAACAACCAAGCTAGGTTGGCAAGGGTGGCCAACTTGGATGGATTGGTTGGGAAGGGACAAAGGTCAAAGTTGAGGTTCCTATAGGGAGGGAATCTTTGTGCTTATGGGGTTTCCTTGGTTGGGGACTCTCTTGGGACCTTCCCTCTCATCCCTCTCTTCCTATCCCAACCTTTCTCTTGCTCCTTCTAATTCCTTGTGAGATTCTTGAACTTTGATTGAACCTTTTGAGATTGAGTTAAGTTCTCCTCCTACAGCTTACCCCCTAATGCGTCGAAAGCCATAGCGTCGCGAATACTTCATCAATCAACGTGATTCAGATTGGGAACGGTAGCTGAGATTAAGAGCTACAACATATCCAAGTTTCGCGACATTCCAACGGCTAGTTTTTCGTCGACGTTGTTTCTTGTGAAGACGACTTTTCTGTCCAGAATTTCGGATTTATATTTTGAGTAATTCTAGTTCCTAAGTTCACCTAGACTCCGTCCTTAATCCTAACAAGTGGTATCAGAGCGATATTAAGGACATTGAGAGGAGTCTACAGAAGTGTGAAGACCCTTCTAGACCCACCATGGCCTGTGGGTGTGCCTAAGTTGTGTTCTAAAGGTTGGATGTGTCTTCCGCTAAGGGGAAACTCTGCCGAAATTTCGTGGACGCCGACACTTGTGAAAAATATCAAGGGAGCTGTGTGTGGACAGCAAAGGGGAGCTGAAATTCGTCATTTCTCAAGGAGAAGATGAATGAGAGAGGAGGAGATGCTAATGGAAGAGGAGCTGTAGCTGAGAAGACAAGTGAGCCGCCGCCATCAAAAGTTGAAGCTTTGGATGGCTCCAACTATGAGGAATGGAGCGGGCGGATGAGGAGTGCCTTCAAACGCTACAAGCTCCTGAAGATTGCTGTTGGGGAAGAGAAGATGCCGGAAGAAGGCGAAGCACGGGAACGGTGGATTGAGAAAAGCGCGGTGCTTTTCGACCTCATCCTTCAATCGGTCAACAAGGAGATGTTCGAGCACATCAAGGATCTTGTGGAAGCGGATGATTCGGGTCCAAGGGCGTGGAAACTACTACGTGATGTGATTCAGCCCAACACTCTCCCAATGGTGATCGTGCTCGAGAAGGAACTTGCTGCCATCTCCATGCGACCAGGGGACGATGTGAAGCCGGTCCTTGACAAGATCAAGGACACCTATGCAAGGATGGCAGCAGCGGGCAGTAGTGTATCTCAGCTGCAGCAGTGCACCAAGATCATCTCGGTGTTGGACAACTCTTGGGACAACCTCATCCCCACCCTCAACTCTCAGCAAGATCAATGGACACCTGAGTGGCTAAGGCAGCAGATTCTGCAGGAGGACTTCCGCAGACGCCATGTGGGAGGCGGTGCTGCCACTAAGACTGCTGAGGGGTATGGAGCTGCAGGGCGCGGCAAAGGAAGAGGGGGTTGGAGAGGCCGAGGCCGTGGGAGAAGCTTTGGCAGGGGTAGAGGCCGAGGTGACTATAATGAGGGGCATGGAAGCTCCAGTGGCAGGGGGAGTACCAGAATGGAGGGCACCTGCTGGTACTGCAAGAAGATAGGGCATCCTTGGTTCAAGTGCTTCAGCAGGCCGGAGGGATGGGCACCTCCAGGCATGAAGCCGCCCAGTGGTGAACGCGCACAAGGTGGCGCTGTGCAAGGCTCAGGTGCACAAGGTGAAGGTGCACAAGGTAATGCCTATCCTGGTTTGTTTCTTATGGTTGAGGATGTGCATGGGCATGAGGGTGATGTGGGATCTGTGGGAAAGGTTGTGATGCACCCTCTCACGCACTGGGTGATTGATTCAGGTTGCACCAGTCACATGACCCCACGGGCAGATTTGCTTGATGAGGTAAAACCCCCTGGGAAGATCAAGTATGTGGCAGCAGCGTCAGGTGCTTTGCTCCCTGTCATTGGTGTTGGAAATGCCAAGGTTAAGGGAGCTAATGGGGAGCTTGTGGGGCTTGGGAATGTTCTGCTGGTTGAAGGCTTGTCTGCTAACCTTCTCTCTGTGCGACGACTGCAGAAGAGCAAGGCCGAAGTGACCTTTGGACCAACCAGCTGCCGTGCTAAGCTTGGGAAGAAGGTGCTGTGGAGTCTGGAAGAGGAGACCAGCTGCATCAAGGACCTGTGGCAGCTGCCCATCATCCCATGGAATGGGAAGACTCCAACAGCAGCAACGGCAGCAACGGCAAAGGCAACAGCAGGAGGAGATGCAACTGCACCAACTGATGGGGTCCTGGAAGCAGTCAAGAAAGTGCAGCAGCAGCAGACACATGGCGAGGTGCTTGCTGGTGTGGATGCGAGTGCGGCATGGGCTAAGGCTTCATCAAGGAGTGGAGAGGCCGATTGGGAGACATGGCATGAGAGGCTGTGTCATGTGAACTTCCCTATGCTGCAGAAGTTGGTGAAGGATGGGAGCCTGAAGGGCTTGGAGGTGAAAGGGGGAGTGAAGGAGATTGGGAGCTGCCCTACATGCTTGGAGACCAAGTTCTCCAAGTTCCCCTTCAACAGCACTACAGGACCAGCCAAGACCCCACTTGCACTTGTGCACATGGATGTGGTGGGGCCCACAAGAGCCCCTTCCCTCTCAGGTAGCCGCTATTTCTTGACAATTGTGGATGACCACACTCGGGCAGTGTGGGTTTACCCTTTGAAGAGCAAGGGGGAGGTGGCAGCGGCTGTCCTTAAGGAGTGGATGCCGAGAGCTCAGAGGGAATGCGGACACAAGGTGAAGGTGATCCGTAGTGACAATGGTGGGGAGTTCATTGGAGCTGATTTTGAGGGGGAGTTGAAGAGGAAGGGGATCCAGCATCAACTGACAGTGCCCTACAACCCGCAGCAGAATGGCGTGGCTGAGAGGTTCAACAGGACCCTGCAGGAGGGGGCACGCACTCTCCTTGGGCGTGCAGGGCTACCTGATCCGTTTTGGGTGTCTGCACTGAGGCAGGTCGCCCTTGTGAAGAATAGAGTGCTGGCTACAGTTGGGGATAAGGAGTGGATCCCATATACCAAGTGGTATGGGAGTGCTCCAGCTGTGAATATGCTGAGGGCATTTGGGTGCATGGTAGTGTTTCATGTGCCTAAGGAGAAAAGAGGGAAGTTGGAGGCTTCTGGAAGATGGGGTGTGCACTTGGGGATTGCAAAGGATCACAAGGGATGGCTTCTATGGGACTTGACCATCCAGAAGCTGACAGTGTCAAGGGATGTGAAGTTTCTTGAGTCCCTGTACTATAAGGAATGGAAGCAGCAGCAACAGAAGCTTCCATCTACACCACTCATTGTGGAGGCAGATGAGTTGCAGCAGCCTTCAAGGCAGGTGGAGGTTGCAGTGTCTGAGGAGGAGATATCTGGGGTGACTGAAGAAGGGGGAGCAGCTGAAGTGGAGCAGCAACAGCAACATGAGTCTCCACCTCGAGTTCCACAGCCGCCTGAGCGACCTAGGAGGGATGTGCGCCCTCCTGTGAGGCTGACCTATGGGGGAAGAGGCAAGCCAAATGTGGTGCAGGCTGGGAGTGTGGTTGAGCAGATTGAGGAAGATGAGATCGCTCACTGCTACTGGGCACCAATCCCTGAGCCCAAGACTCGAGAGGAGGCCTTGAATGGACCAAATGGGGAGAAGTGGAAGGCGAGTGAGGATGAGGAGTTCGGGTCCCTGATTGAAAACGAGACATGGGACCTGTGTGACTTGCCTCCTGGGAAGAAGGCAATCACTTCCAAGATGATCTACAGGCACAAGTATGGACCTGAAGGGGAGCTGACCCGCTACAAGTCTAGGCTTGTGGCAAGGGGGTTTCAGCAGACAAAAGGGAAGGACTATGATGAGGTGTTTGCTCCTGTGGGGAAAGGAACAACACTGAGGGTGCTGTTGGCGATAGCTGCACTCCTGGGATGGAAGATACGGCAGATGGACATTGTGACTGCCTTTCTGAATGGGATCATTCTGGAGGAGGTGTACATGAAGCAGCCAGAGGGGCTGGATGATGGGAGCGGCAGGGTCTGCAGGCTGAAGAAGGCCATCTATGGCCTTAAGCAGGCGCCTCGTGCATGGTATCACAAGTTGGAGGAGGCGCTGTTGGCTGGGGGTTTCAAGAAGAGTGAGTGTGACCCCAGCCTGTTCCTGCTGCAGGAGAAGGATGAAATCCTCATGCTCTTGGTGTACGTGGATGATATCCTTCTCTTTTCTGCATCAACTGCTTTGCTGGACAGCGCAGAGCAGATGCTAGAGATGCAGTTCAAGTGTTCCAAGATGGGTGAGGTGAAGTACTACTTGGGGATGCATGTGGAGAGAGATGTGGAGAAGGGTGTGCTGAGGTTGCACCAGAGGAAGTACTGTGAGGGGCTGGCTGAGAAGTATGGGCTGCAAGATGGGGGAAAGCCAGCAACACCACTACCTTCAGGGTTTACTGTGGAGCCATGTGCTGATGAGGAGGTAGTGGGTGAGAGTGACAGGAAGCTGTTTCATTCGATGGTTGGGTCGCTGAATTATGCTGCAAATCATACACGGCCTGACATTGCATTTTCTACATCACGGTTGGCTAGTGTGGTCTCACGCCCTAGTCATGAGCAGCTGGAAGCGGCCAAGAGGTTGGTCCGCTATGTGAGTGCTACGGCATCAGTGGGATTGGAGTACAGTGGAGTGAGGCAGCGGTTGCAGAGAGGTGCTGCAGATGTGAAGAGTGGAGAGATGCTCTTGAGTTGCTATACTGACGCTAGCTTCAACTCAGTGAAAGCGGATGGCACCAGCATTGGGGGTTATGTGTGCTTGCTAGGAGGTGGTGCTGTGAGCTGGCGCAGCAAGAAGCAGAATGAGGTGGGATTGTCCTCATGTGAGACTGAGTACATGGCCTTACACCATGGGGCCAAGGAAGTAGTGTGGCTAAGGCGTTTGTTGGAGGAGTTGGGAGTTGGTCAGGAGGAGCCGACAGTTGTGTTTTGTGACAATGAGTCCGCTGTGAAGCTCGCCAAGAATGCTTGTCTGCATGGGCTGACAAAACACATAAGGCCTAAGTGGCATTGGGTGAGGAGACTCCTTGATAAGGAGGTGCGGCTGGAGATAGTGAAGACCCATCAGCAGGCAGCAGATATTTTCACCAAGCGTCTGGCGGAGGCGGATCATTGGAAGGGCATGAAGCTTGCTGGGATGAGTGTGCATTGAGTATGCATGCTTGAGATGTGGTATGGTGGATGATGGTTGGCAGCCAGAGGGGGAGATTGTTGTGTGATGTCATCATATGCTATCACATTCTGTCTGCCTCCCATCCCATGTTTTCAACTTGCATGTGTGGTTTGAATGTGCAAGCATTTGTGTGGTGTGTGTTCTGGAGTTTGGGAATGTGTTATGTGTTATTTTGTTTGAGCAGGTATTTGTGATGATAGATCTTGAGAAGATCTTTCCGACGCAACAAGAATCTCTTCAATTGGAGCAACAACGCGAAAGCTATGAAGATTCAAAGTTCATGAGCTTGCGTTACAATTGCGGCGGTTACTAAGTGAAGTTGTGGGGTGACTTTATATGGAGTTGGGACCTTTGGGGTTGGGGAAACTTGTCACTCTACTGTAACAGCTGCAAATAGGTTGGGAACAACCAAGCTAGGTTGGCAAGGGTGGCCAACTTGGATGGATTGGTTGGGAAGGGACAAAGGTCAAAGTTGAGGTTCCTATAGGGAGGGAATCTTTGTGCTTATGGGGTTTCCTTGGTTGGGGACTCTCTTGGGACCTTCCCTCTCATCCCTCTCTTCCTATCCCAACCTTTCTCTTGCTCCTTCTAATTCCTTGTGAGATTCTTGAACTTTGATTGAACCTTTTGAGATTGAGTTAAGTTCTCCTCCTACAGCTTACCCCCTAATGCGTCGAAAGCCATAGCGTCGCGAATACTTCATCAATCAACGTGATTCAAATTGGGAACGGTAGCTGAGATTAAGAGCTACAACATATCCAAGTTTCGCGACATTCCAACGGCTAGTTTTTCGTCGACGTTGTTTCTTGTGAAGACGACTTTTCTGTCCAGAATTTCGGATTTATATTTTGAGTAATTCTAGTTCCTAAGTTCACCTAGACTCCGTCCTTAATCCTAACAGGGCAGGGTCAGAGACCAGAGCGGTAGCGTAGTCAAGGCGAGGGGTAGAGGCGAAGTCAGTGACAGCAGCGAGAAGCGCGTCAAGGCGCGAGATAGGAACAACAGGGTTGGTAACAAGAGAGGCAAGGACCCGAGGGACAAGGGGACGAGCGGCATGGAGGTAGTCAGAGAACGGAGGAGGTGCAACAGCAAGGGACGAGGGAGGAGGGGACGGGAGGAGGGGAGGACGAGATGAGCGAGAACGGAGCAACATAGGGTGGGTGGGCAGGACAGGAGAGACGGGGCGAGCACGGGAGGGACGGCAAGCCCAAACGTGAGATGGAGGTGTAGGGTCTTGGGACAGGGGAGGGGACACAGAAGGGGAACGAGGAGGAAGACGGGCCGGAGATGAGTCCAGCGGCGGGAACACAGGACCGTAGACAGGAAGGTCAGCAGGCGGTGGGGGAGACACCGGCGTGTGGTCCGGGGAGGGAAGGTTGAGCAGGCGGAGAGCGGAGACCGGCGGCGACGGCTGCTGCGACTGCTGCAACAGCTGGGCTGGAACCCTCAGACCGGCAGAGGTAGGACGACCGTCGGCGGAACCCTCAACAGCAACACCCCCAAAACCAACACCCCCAGAGAAAGAACCCCCTCCAACTCCAGCGGCACCCCCGGGAGCCGCAGGACAAACACCCTCCTCAACGCCAGCACCCCCAGAGGCCAACGGCGGCAGCGGCGGCGGCGGCGACGGCGGCTGCGGCGGCCGCGGCGGTGGCGGTGACTGCGACTGCAACGGCGGCGGCGACGGCGACTGCAGCAGGGAAGGTGGAGACACCCGGGAAGGTGGACGTGGCAGGGACGGACCGGGGGGACCACAAGAGTTAGCAGACTCCTCAACGGGGACAACCGACGGGAGGGGAGTGACATGAGAGTCACCAGACAGGGCAGGACGAGGCGGGAGAGGAGCAGGGGCTACTGGGGGAGAGGGAGCCAGGAACAGGGGCGGGGCAACCGGGAGACCTCGGTGAGGGAAGCGGCGGTAGAAGGAGATAGACTCGTCAAAGGTGACGTCACGAGAGTGGAGGAAGCGTTGAGACGACGGGTGGTAGAAAAGCCAGTTAGACGAGTCCAGGGGGAAACCAAGGAAGACACAGGGGACAGTGCGGGCAGTGCCAGAGGCACGAACGTGAGCAAGGCAGCCCCAGACGTGGAACGCAGGCGCGTCACCCGGGGACCCAGTCCAAAGGAGGGTCGGCGAAACCTGCGGCCGCTGGGAGCATGGCCACAAGTTAAGCTGGTGACCAGCGTAGCGAACAGCGAACGGCCACAGAAAATAGGGGGCATCGGCATGAATCATGGAGGTATGGGCGACCTCCATGACCAAGCCAATGCGGCGCTCAGCAACCCCATTCTGCTGTGGCGAGTCCGGCAAGGTGTACGACTGGGTGATGCCCTCCACACGACAGAACTGTCCAAGCCGACCAGAGGCGAACTCGCCGCCACGGTCAGAATGGAGACACAACACGGGGAGACCGCGGTGGAGACGCACAGCCACAACCCACGGGAGAAGAACGTCGGGCACATCGGCCTTCCGCTCCAGGAGAAACACCGTGGTGTAGCGCGTGTAGTCGTCGACGAGCGCAAGGAAGTAGCGCTCACCGCGCGGTCCGGGGACGAGTGCAGGGCCCCAAACGTCCGGGTGCAGGGTCTGAAGGGGGGTAGTAGCAGGGCGCAGCGACGAGGAGTGAGGAGCACGGCGGAGCCGGCCCTCGACGCAAGGCGTGCACAGTGGCGCAGTCGAGGGAGGAAGGGCAGGGAGCGACGCGGGGAGACCTAAGACAAGACCGTGCTGGGACATGTGATGCAGACGCGGGAGAGCAGGGTGACCTAAGCGGTGGTGCCAGAGAAGGGACGGGTGAGTGAGGGACCGACACGAGCAAGCTGCAGCAACCTGGGAGGACGCACCAACCGGGGGGGAAGCGGTGTCAAGGGTAAACAGACCAGACACCGGGTCCCGGGGGAACGTCGCAAAGGGGGAACCTGATACAGCCTCAGAACAGACAGCGAACCGCTCGTGCCTGGGGAACATGGTGGTGACGCCGAGGTCCTGGAGACAGCCGACACCAACCAGGTTCCTCGAGAACGAGGGAACGTGGAGGCCTGTAAGGGAGCCTGAGGGAACTGCTGGACAGGGAAGGGACGTAGAACTGCGAGCGACGACAGGACCTGCAGAGGGGTCAGCGAGAGAGACAACGGCAGGTGCAGCAAGCGGTGTGAGCGTAGAACGGTCGCGGAAGAAGCATGCAGAAGCACCGGAGTCGAGAGTGAAGGACAGCGAAGCAGTGGCGGAGGCCGGGGACGGAGCAGCGACTAGACTAGGCAAGCTAGGCAGTCCTACGCCTGACGCAGCAGGGGAGGCTAGGCTACACAATGGTGCAACACCTAAACTAGAGTACACAGGGTAATAAGATCCACCAATACTAGAAGCGTCAGAATACAAAGCATGCAAAGCAGCACCGATCTGATCCAGGTCTAACTCAAAGATCGGGACGCCCTAGCGGAGGAGGCTGTGCCAGTCGGGGAGGTCCGAGGCCGGGCCAAAGCGACGACGAAAGAGATCGTCGAGGCGGCGGAAACAGCGGGCGGTCGGGTGCGGGCGGCGGCACAGAGTGCTGCGAAGAGGCCCAGTCTGAAGCTGGTACTGGCAGGTGACAGCACCGGAGCCGCCGGTAGACGCCAAGCTGCGCGGGCCACCACCACGGCCACTACCTCCGGAGGTGCCGGGCCATCCAGGCGGGAGACGGGCCCACGGCCGCGGCGACTGCTGCTGGGACGGCGGCTGCTGCTGGGGTGGCAGCTGCGGCTGGGGCTGCTCCTGCTGCGGCTGGGGCTGCTGCTCCTGCCCACCAGTGGTAGTCCCCGCAGGCGGACTACCGTCACCACCACCACCACCACCACCACATGCGCCACCACCCCTACCTCCATGGCGACCATGGCCACCGCGGCGTGAGCGGTGCTGTGGGTGGACCGTAGCAGCCATCTCGGTGAGAGGGGTCGCCGTGGCGACCGCAGCCGAAACGTCAGTGAACGTGCACTGGGAGGGGGCACAACCGTGAAAGATAGAGACTGCCGGCGCACCGCTCGACTGAGCGATAGTGCGCTGACGAGTCTCGATCTCGGTGAGGGTGTCGACAAAGGTGGTGAGGGTGAGTTCACCCGGGTGCTGGCTAAGGAAGTGATCGCTAGCACTAGCGAGGCGGTCTGGCAGGCGCATGGCGATAAAATAGAGCGTCATGCAGAAAGGGGGGGGGAGCGCAGTGAGTTGGGCAGCAGTGATGGCAGTGCGATAGCGGGTCTCTAGTGGCAAAGTCTGCGACGGTAGGGAAGGCTGCGAGGTCTGGGAACAGCATCGGGAAGAGCAAGCGGCCAGCAGAAGTAGACGCGGGTGTGGAATAGCGAGCAATAACGGCGTCTAAGTAAGCTTTGGCCGTCTCAACAGTAGCAAAAGGCGAGCGCTCAGACACAGGGAGGGCGTGGCTAATAGCAACCTCAACTACTGCATCGCGGGAGTCCCAGACCAGACAGGCAAGCGCAGCAGTAGAGAAGGCCTCACGGTCATCAGAGGAGGGATCAGCAGGGAGGGGAGCAGGGGCATGGGGGCGGGGGAGCAAGCCATCAACATGGACAACCAAAGAGTGGCCATCCTGGCGCTGACCTGTAAGGTGGCGGCAGAGATCGGAGAGCCAGGCGGCGAAGTCAACCGCATGGCCCTCGGCGTCCAGTCGGGGCACGAAGTCAGCCATCCTGCAGGGTCAGCGGCACAGCTCCACAGGAACACAGCGACGCAGGGACACAGCGGCAGCACTCTCCAGCACGGCGGCCGCGAGGCGCCCCAGCACTGGCGAGCAGAGTAGACGGAGCCCGAGGTGGCACAGCAGGACGAGCAGGCACCAAGATGGGCCAGGCGGGCAGTGGGAGAGGCCAGGCAGACGCGGCGGGGCCAGGCAGGCGCGGAGGGGCTAGGCAGGCGCAGCGGGGCCAGGCTGGCGCGGCGGGGCCAGGCAGGCGCGGCGGGGCCAGGGAGGCGCGGCGGGGCCAGGCAGGCGCGGCAAGGCCAGGCAGGCACGGAGGGGCCAGGCTGGCGCGGCGGGGCCAGGCAGGCGCGGTAGGGCCAGGCTGGCGCGGCGGGGCCAGGCAGGCGCGGCGGGGCCAAGCAGGCGCGGCGAGGCCAGGCAGGTGCGGCGGGGCTAGGCAGGCGTGGCCGGGCCAGATAAATTCTTCTTGAGTTCATGGGGGCTGGCTGCACACACCTGCGACGCGATGGACACTTCACACTCGACAAAATAGAAATAACACATGTGACACGCAAACGACGACTTGACATGCGAGTTGTAAAAACTCGCTAATGTCTTGACCGACACAAACCACATTGTGATACACCATTCAAACACACACACAAGCACTAGATAGCAATGACATAGACTCACAATTCATTCCATGCCATGCATGCACACACACAAACAAGGGCGACAAGCCGAGTGCAAGCCATAGGGTTGCACCAACAAACTCCCCCTTGGATTGTTGGCCTTAGAATCAGCTCCCCTTAGTTCAGAGCCATCCCATCAAGCTTGCAATACTTCCAATGCTGCTGCTCAACCAGCCTCTTGAGTTCTTGGTCTTGATTCTTGGTCTTGAGCTCTTGGTCTTGATTCTGCAAGATAAATTCTTCTTGAGTTAATGAGGACTTGCTGCACACACATGCGACACGATGGACACTTCAGACTCGACAAAATAGAAAGGCTCATGCGACACGCAAACGATGACTTGACATGCGAGTTGTGAAAACTCGCTAATGTCTTGACCGACACACACCACATTGTGATATACCATTCAAACATACATACAAGCACTAGATAGCAATGACATAGACTCACAATTCATTCCATGCCATCCATGCAAACACACAAACAAGGACGACAAGCCGAGTGCAAGCCATAGGGTTGCACCAACAAACTCC